ACCAACGCGGGCTTGCACAACACCAGCGTGCTGGAGTACATGCCCGAGCAGGTCGAGATCCTGATCTTTACGGGAAACTACATAACGGAGCTGCCATGGAACGTCTTTGGAAGCATCAATGACTACAAGCAGCTGAAGATCGTGGACATGAGCAACAATCACATACGCGAGATACGTGGCAAGAGCTATCATCATGTGCCACGAGTGGAACGCCTCATCCTCAACCACAACAATCTGAGCATTTCCCGCTACGACGACGAGGTGAATCATCATCATCCGCGCGTCTTCTCCAACTTTGTCAACCTGCAAAGCCTACATCTGACCGACGCYTTTGAGGATCACAGCTCGCCRCAGCTGAGYGAGGATCTGCACGATATTTTCGTGAACAGCCAACTGGTTAAGCTGGAGAAGCTRCATCTRGAGCAGAACGAGATAACGCACTTCAAGGATCGCAACGTTTTTTGTGATCTGCCTGCGCTCCGGGATCTGCACTTGGGCGACAATCTCCTGAAGGACATTAACTTTGAAGTGCGTTGCTTGAACAATCTTCGTTTTCTGGATCTGGAGCGGAACAAGTTTGAGTTTGTCAAGCCCAGCGATATGCGGCTGCTCAACGAGCTGCAGGAGCGCGAGAATCGCACCGTCAATCTAATCGTCGACTTCAATCTGAATCCCTTTGTCTGCGACTGCAAAATATCCCCCTTCCGCACGTGGCTGCAGGCSACGCGAGTCCAGGTGCGCAATCAGGAAAGCCTCATGTGTTTCCATGGACTGCAACATGTTGATCCGGCGCCGGCGCACATCCTCCAGCTGGACATGAGCGAGTGTGCAGCCACAATGGCGGCAGCTGCCTCGTTTCTGAATATCGCCGAAAACGAGCAGCTGTACGGGCAACTCCAGCCGCATATCAGTGGACACACGGCCACACTGATCTTTCTACTGATCGTGCTCAGCATGATTCTGCTGGGTCTGCTGGTGGCCCTCGTCTACGTTAGTCGCGACAAATTGAAGTACATGATGACTCCGGTGTTCGACAACGTGGCCAAGAAAGTGCAGTACACGTCGATCAAGGATGAGGATTGCCCGGAGGTTCATGTCTAAGCCCAACTGCAAATCCCACCCACACGTCCATATCAAACAGTAGCAACAGAACTAAGTACAGTTTCGTTCGATTACCAGTTTACTTTCATTTTGCCATTCGCATAGCGCAAATGTGTGCCATTCACAGAGAACGACGTCTAAGAAAGGGCGAAAGGAAAAAAGAAAAAAAAACAACAACCAGCCCAAATCTTTTGTAGAAACCCTATTCAGTTAACTGTATTTAAAAACAATATAAGCACTCACAAACCTATTGTTTGATAGTACATAAGTGAATTGTTGCATTTAAGGTAATAGTAGAACTACTAAAATGTAACAA